CTCTACCTCTCCCTTTCTCTAACTCTTTCAAATAAATAAATATGTCTTTAAAAAAAAGAACAAAAAAGAGTAAGACAATGGTTCAGTTTTCAGATGCTCTGCTGATTTTCAGATGTGCGGCACTCACTGAGCCAGATAAATCAGGTACAGAAAAGTCTGGAGCTTTAGGACCATTTTACCAATGTTGTCCTTAACTGTAACAAGCACACTTGTGCATCTCCTTTCTTTTTCCTCCTAGCACTCCCACTGTTGCTAGAAAAATCATAGTGATTTGTCACATTCCAGGGTGAAAAGGGCAAAGCTGGAAACCCTTCTTCTTCATTCCACCACAATATCAAGGTCATCCAAAACTACCTCTTGAATTATCGTTCTGGGAAATATTTTAAATACTACTCTGGTATATTCCCAAAGTATTACCTCACTTCTGGATGTGACAACACACTGCTAGAAAACAAGGAAAACAGCAGAGTTGAAATGAAAGTCATGAAGAGTCTTCTAGAGTTGTATTTTTTACCCAGGAAAACTCAGCCATTCCCCTTACTAACTATCACCCAAAGGCTGCTGATAGCCAAATCTATAAAGCAGCAAAGAATTCTTTGCTAAGTGCCAAATTTATAATCCCAACTGCTTAGTCATCATCCTCACCTGACTTTCCCTGAGACAAACTAAAGACAGACAACTTAGCACTTCTCACCTTCCCCAAAACTTGCTCTTTCCCCACAGCCCCTTCTCTATCTTCTCATCAAAACCAGAAAACTAGGAGCCATCTTTGACCTTACCCTAGACTTCACTTCCATTTTTTTTAAGTGTTTTTTTTTTTCATTAGAAAGTCAGATTTGCCGAGAGAGAACAGACACATACAGAGATCTCCCACCTGCTGGTTCACTCCTCAAGTGGCTGCAACAGCCAGAGCTGAGTTGATCTGAAGCCAGGTATGTCTTCCAGGTCTCCTACACAGGTACAGGTTCCCAAAGCTTTGGACCATTCTTGACTGCTTTCCCTGGCCAAAAGCACGGAACTGGAAGGGAGTGGAGCAGCTAGCATACGAACTGGCGCCTATGTGGGATCTTGGTATATGCAAGGCGAGGCCTTTAGCCACTAGGCTACTGTGCTAGGCCCTTGACTTCACTTCTAAAACTATTTAATTGCAAATAACAGCACTCTGCTAGGTCCTTTCTATCCTAGCAGTCATTGCCAGAACTCATCTCCAGACACCTCAAGCAGTTTTCTGCAGCCAAGCCTTCGAATATTCTATGTCTAGAATTATATACACTTTCGCTCCATTTCTTACATTCCCTAACTGCCTGATGAACTACTTCCTCTTTGTGGATTAAAATGGCAACCATTTGAGGACCAAAGCAGAGGATGCAAGACTCCCTGCTGTCTTTCTCTCCCTGTCACAATGTCTTTCACATGAAATAATCAACCCTCAAGATGACACGTGGCACAGCCGCACCCCAGAGTGGAGTGTCTGGGTTCAAGGGCTGGTCTTAGGTTCCAGATTCCTGCCAATGTGCCCCTAGGAGATAACGGTAATGGCTCAAGTACTTGCACCTCTGTGTCCGCTCTAGGAGACCTGGGTTGAGTTTCCCACACCTGTTAGCCCGGCCCAGCTCTGGGTGTTGTAGGCATTGAGTGAAGCAGCTGATGCAGTATTTCTGTCTCTCTGAAGTAAGCAAGCAAAAATTTAAAACCCTACTTTCATGGGTCATCTCCCTCAGTTCTAGATTAATCACTTCCCTTTCTACACCACAATGCTCTTACTGAACATTTCTTACTGCTATAAACAAACACAAAATTTAAAACTAATTTCTCAAAACCTTTACATGTTATTATAAATATCAAAACATTATTCTGTTTCCCAGAATTATGACTCATTAACAGAAGAAATCCTTTGACATTCAGTTGAATAAACCTGATGTAACTACTGGCTTTTCTTTTTCGATGATTTATTTGCAAGTCAAAGTTACAGAATAGAGATAGAGAGATCTAACATCTGCTGGTTCATTCTCCAAATGGCCACAATGGCCAGAGCTGAGCCAGACCAAAGCCAGGAGTTTCATCAGGATCTCCCACATGGCTGCAGGGGCTCAAGCCCTTGGGCCATCTTCTGCTGCTTTTCCCAGGCCATTAGCAGAAACCCGGGTCAGAAGTAGAGCAGCCAGGACGTGGACTGGCACCCATGTATCGGGATACAGACATCAGAGATGGTGGCTTAATTCTACAACGCTAGCTCCACTGGCTGTTGCTGAAGAGGATTCTTGAAGCTATTTTTGAGAGTCACCATACCCAGACTTGTTATTTATCCTACAAAATCAGTGTAAATTGATAATATAAAAATACACAAATCTGTCACAGAATCAATTGTAAGTTTCTATTTTTCTTTCTATTGTTGATTTTGTATTATGACTTTTCATTTGAGGGGATGCACAGTAGCTGTGAAACAAAGACTTACATCCAGATGTGAGGATACAATGTAGTTTGCATTTCTACTTCCAGACAAAAATGGACTTCCAGTGAAACTGTTCACTATATCTTGACAATAGGATGCTGGACTCTCTGCCATTGTCCATGCCCGCAATGATGGACATATGACTGTGTATGAAGAACTATACTTTAGTAATGATATAGAGGAATTGGGGGGGGAAGGTATTGGACCTGGGATAAAGGAAATACCAGAAGCCTATGGAACTGTATCATAAAATGATAATAATAATAATAAAATGTAAAAAAAATTTTTAAAAAAGAAAAAGAATGGCTGAAATGTCATTTTGTTTTCTGTTTCAGCATCTTCAGAAAGTCAAAAGCCTTGATTCAGAAAAATTAAACTCAAAAATTATTTAAATAACTCAAAACACTACTGAAGACTCTTTCTGTGGGAACTGTTTGAGAGAGGATAGAACTGGTCCCTGGCACTGCAGTACCAGGCAGTACACACACACACCTCCCCCAAGTAGACAGGGACAGGAACTGTGTCTTCTATCCCTTTTTACGTTCTACACTGTGCATGCTGGACAGGCATGAAGTTGGCAGGAAGCATGTACTAGTAGAGAGACTATTAGCCAGGAACTACAGCCTTGATTCACCACAACAAAATGTAAAAAAAAAAAGATCCCTTTCTACAATGAATTTGTGCATACCAACATGGGTCCATTATGTGTGGGACATTCACAAGGACACTTGATATAACAGCCAATGAGATAAGATCACTAGTTTCTAATATACAGGTAAGAGAATCAATTCAAAATAATTTGTCTGAGAAAGCTAAATAAATGGTAAAGCCAGCATCTGCATCGAGGTTAAAAGCCCACATTCTCAACCATGTTCACATGTCAAATCCTAAAGGAGAAATTTTAAAATGCATCATCCAAACTTAATGCTTCGATCCTCACTGATCTCTCCACAATTCTGAAAACATAATAATCCATTTTTTTAAAAGGCAGTTAATAGTTTGGCAATCAGACAGGAATTTAGTCTAGGAGTTAAGATGTTCAACTCTGGAATCAGAATATCTGGCTTTATATACAACTCTGCTCCCTGACTCAAGATTCCTGCCAATTTCAAATATGAGACAGAGATAGACATAGAGGTATATGTTTGTCTTTATCTCTCTGCCCCTCAAATAAATATAAATTATAAGCAATTAATTTTGTATGGTAAAATGCAGTGATGGGGGGCACTACTGTGGTCCAGAGAAGTAAGCTAGTTTAGCCAGTATCTCACAATGAGGGCTAGTTCCCATCCCAGTTACTCTGCTTTCCAGCCAGTTACGTGTTTAAGCACTTGAAAAGGTAGCAGCAGAACCTCAGGTAATAGAGCCCCTGCTGCCCATGTGTGAAACCAGCATGAAATTTCTGGCTCCTGGGTTCAGCCTGGCCCAGACCTGACTTTGCAGTCACTTGGGGAGTGAACCAGCATAGGGAAGATGTCGCTTTTTCTCCTTCCCTATGTCACTCTGCCTTTCAAATAAAAAATTTATAAACAATTTTTTGAGTTGCTATAGTTATTATGCATTTATTTTTTAATAGGCACGGGGTCTCCCTTCCCACTCCCCAAGTTCCCTCTCCTCCCCACCCTTCTCCCCTCCAATCTTACAATGGGTGTCTTTCGTGAGTTCTCACCAGTCCATCATGCTACCACTGAGGTGTCTCCCAACAATGCAGGAGATTATCAGCCATTTCACTGTGAGTCCATCCTTATACTGCATACAAGAGGACACACTTCTCTTTATTTCCACCTATGAACATATTAATGTCCGCTACACTTCCATTATGTATCCCCTTAGGTACAGTCCACCATAGGGGTAAAAACAAAAAATAAAAAATAGTGAACCTTCATCCACATGAGGTTGACAAAACATATATAAAAAGGTATCAATGTGATGCTTGTCCTGCATCTTCAAGGAACCAGATGCTGGTAGAGAAGGCTAACATCTGCCTGTGGTCCATGTACCAGTTTAAATCCTTGCTGGTCTACTTCTGATCCAGCTCCCAGCTAATGGCCAGGGAGAACAGTGAAAAATGGCCCAAGACCTTGGAACCCTGCACTCATGTGGAAGACCTGGAAGAAGCTCCTGGCTCCCAGTTTTGGATCAGCCCAATTCTGACTATCGCAGCCATTTGAGGAGTGAACCATTGGATGGAAGATCTGTCTCTCCCTCTCTCTGTATCTCTTTCAAGTGAAACAAATAAATCTTAAAAACAAAAAATGAATAAATAAATTGTTAAAATGCAGTGATTTGAAACTAATATTTCAAATTAACACTATCCCATATCCAATCTAGTCTGTATCTCATATCAAATATATTTTCTGGGCTATTTTACTCTCTCAAAAGTTTAGTTTTTGCATCTGTGAAATAAAGAGAATACTTTGTTTTATAGGATGATTTTGGAATTTCATTAATATAACATGTAAAAATCCTTGATAAAGATTTAATAAATGCCAATGTTGGTGTTAGAAGCTAACAGAAAAAAAACTACAAAAAAGAAAGCATTACTTACGGAAGCCAGCAATCTTCCATCTTCCTTCATAGCAAGGTAACGGTTTGCACACACTCCTTTGATGGACACAACTCCTCTCTCTTCCGCCTGAAGTTGCAATTTGACTGTAAGCAATACAGGAAAAATTACCTTGGTAATTCCAGAGAGAAAAAGAGTCATCTCCCAAGTACCTATGCAACACAAGAGGACTTTTAAAAGTCCAAGTGGGCAAGAATTTGGTCTAGCAGTGAAGTTCTTTGAGACAGGCACAATGGACTACCCTTCCTGGGTGTAAGGTTCACTCCCGATCCTAGCTTCCTGCTAAAGGGCACCATGGAATGTACCAGCAATATCTTTAGCAGCTGGCTCCTACCCTCCACCCCAGAGACTTCCATTGAGACCCCAACTCCCAGCCTTAGTTGTTGGCCTTTGGGGTAAACTTGCAGTTGAGAGCTCTCTGTATTTTTTTTTTCTTTCAAACATTTTTTTTTAAGTTTATGGAAAACTCATAATATAGAAAACATGATGCACAGATTTCAAGATATTTTGAACCAAAATAAACTTAATTAAAATTTCCATAAACTTTCTGAAGCACATATATGTGTAAAGACCAGATGCAAGGCCAACCAGCTAATCCATTCTGGTGGACGGGCGAGGCCGTGGGGACAAAGGCTAGGGCAGGTGTCCGCTAAACAGCTGTGGAACATCACTGCCCGGGCTCCCTCATCATGCCATGCCCCACGGTAAGGGGAGCAAAATCATTTCCTTTGTCAGACAGTTAGCCTCCCCTAAGATGTGTTAACTGTTTATATTTCTTGAAAAATGGACATATTTTAAAAATACACAGTAATGTAAGCCTTTTATAAGAATACCCACAATGTTGCCACGTTAGTTTTAAATTCTCCCAAAGTCATCTTTAATCAACTGCTCACAAATTAGTTACAATCTAATTGTTCATGATGATCTTTGGGCTGCATTTCCTTGACTTTTATATACCTTATCTCTAGGTTTGGTTCAATACAATACCACTACATTTATCCTCCTTTTTTATGTATAATCAATTTTAGTGAAATGATCTATGCCGCATGAACACATGTGCTCTTACACTTACTTTGTTTATACAACACGGTGAAATGTTCTCAGAAATATATGTTCCTGAGGAGAATGACCTGGTGCCCAACACTACCAACATTAAGCAGATCAGATGAAAATTAAACAAAGCTATTACTTGATTATGATACTAATGCAATATGGACAAATAATTATTTAACTCACTGAAAGAAAAATGAAGTCATAGTTCTATTGTGCTCCACAGAGGGCTGCATTCACCAGCCTAGTACAACGTTCCCCAACTGTATATTGGCTAACAGATGTCACAGAGAAAATAAGCACTGAGGTCACATACATTTAGGCAATTCTTTGTTATGTCAAGATAATTGTTGCCAGACTTCTCAAAACCTTGTCATTACATCCATTGCCCATTACATTGAAGAACCTAGGCGTTTTCTGCCTTTTGTGATTCTGCCTTAATGGCTTGGCTGGGGGCTGTGTGAACTCCAGGCCTGATAGTCTACGTGACACCTACGTGCAGGACACCTGGCAGGTCACGTAGGCAGACCACTCCTCAGGAAGGAGGTACCTGGTGTTTGATAAGATTCACAGCCCTATAGCTTATCAATTTGTACTTTTTGAAAGTTGCTTGTTTCAAACCCACCAATAGAAGCCTGCTAAGTCATGACTGTATAATTAATAGCCTGAAATGTATAAGAACTGGGGGGCTTGGGCTCCCTTGGCTCTTCTGGCTCGCGCTTCTTTGGTCCTCCTTGTGGATCCTTGCAGCCTCGGCTGCGGCTGCCCCTCCCCCGCCCAGCCATGCTGGGCTGGGGGAGGTGGCTGGGAGACCTAGGCTAACCTGAATAAACCACCTTTTTGCCTCAGCACCAACTTCAGACTTGATGATTATCTGGGGGTTTCAAAAAACTGGCACAACAACATCCCATCCTTCTATATAGGCACTTATAAAGACTTAAATTAAGTAATACATATACCAGTATTTTTCAGTTAAGTATTATTTAAATATTTGCAGGATTGGAAATTTGGGACTTTAGGCCCGGCACACTGGCCTAGTGGCTAAAGTCCTCGCCTTGAACGCGCCAGGATCCTATATGGGTGCCGGTTCTAATCCCAGCAGCTCCACTTCCCATCCAGCTCCCTGCTTGTGGCCTGGAAAAGCAGGCAAGGATGGCCCAAAGCCTTGGGATCCGGCACCTGCATGGAAGACCTGAAAGAGGCTCCTGATTCCACATCAGCTCAGCTCTGTTGTGGCCACTTGGCGAATGAACAAGCACAAGGAGGATCTTTGTCTCTCCTTCTCTGTAAATCTGACTTTCCAATTAAAAAGTAAATCTCTTAAAAAGTTTATAAAAATATATAAAATTTGTATGTTTGAATATATATATGTAAGGGCAGGAAATATTTCTAAAGAGTTGACAGTAATTTGGTAATGATGGAATAAAAGTGGTCTTTGACTTTCATCCACTTTCTGGTTTCTAAAGTTTTTTTTCTTGGTATATAACTTTTACAATAAGAACATAATATTAGCATTTCCAGAACTTTAAAACAATCTATAATAAAGCATTGTTTTTCAGTTGTTGGTGTTATGTTGTGGCTTTTAATTGGTCGGGATGATAGTCTACCAGCTCTGCCTTCAGACCAGAGATCGTCTCCCCAAGAAACTATTGAACTAATCTGGACAATAAGATGCTGGACTCTATGCATGGTACATGCTTGCAATGAAAGAATGAAGATTGGATTTGAACTGTAATACTGCAACAAGGTAGAGAAATCCACCATGGGGGGGGTACAGGAAGGGGTTGGGGGAATCCCAGAGCCTATGAAACTGTTATAAAATCAGATGTAATAAAAAAATAAAAATTGCATATAAAAAAATAAAGCACTGTTTTTGTGCCATATTAAACATGACCATGAAAATAATCACATTCATGAATTCAAGGAAAGAAAGGGAATTTCTCAATGAAAAGGGACAATATCAAGCAAAGCAAAGTGTGAATCTTGTTGACACATGTCTGTAGACCTTATTTTTGAAGGTTTTTGAAACCTTCCTTAATAAAAGTTATTTTTTATTATGAAATCACAAAGCTAATCAAAGTTCATCAGGTGTTGGTAGCAATGTAGTGAAGGGTATAAAAGTCATGTTAACATCCAGAGTTCCACTTTGCTGATTCTACACAACGTGAAATCTCAGGCAGTGTCTAGGCACCTGGACAGTCTAAAACAGTGAAATTAAACCTAGTTACATTCACGTGAGTTCTATCATCACTGTTCCATGTTAGAGGAAAGATATGAGAAAATGACCACACTCGATATTTGTAAAACTCTTATTTGTAAAACTTGATATTTGTAAAAGGCCACTGGCTCTCAGAACATAACAAAGGCATAAGCTCAAGACAAAATCAATTTTCTATGATTTGGGACAGTATTCTTAAAGTGATTCTACGTACAAAATGCTTCAAGCTGGGAAATGAAATGTTTATATTCAATTTACACATGACTAGTGCAAAACAGAATTTTCCACACATTTCAGAAAATAAAATCACATAGCAAACTGACAAACTGAATGCTGGAGGAAAAAAGGTTGTAGTAGACAGAACAACTATTCTGAACAATTTACTAAACTCTCAGGAATGCTAACATGGCAGGGGGTGGAGAGGGGAGAGAGAAGATTCTCAAAGGCTAAAAACAGGGTGGAGGGAGCTCAGAGGTAAGAGCAAAAAATGCACTGTGATAAAGTTGTAAAAGGTCCTCCTGGCTAGGCTACAAGTCCCAGGTGGCGCAGTGAAGGTTATTTTGCAGTTAACATTAAAAAGGTTATTCTTGATAATCTTGCCTGACCACACACTGAGGCTTCCCAGAGGAGGAAGGTGGACCTGTGGGTGGAGGCTTCCACCCATGCCTGAGCCCATCCACAGATATGTCCTTTTCTGCAGTTTCCCAACGCCTTGCTGAAACTCCAGTATGAGCGCAATTCTCACCCCGAAAGAAAAGTGTGTGTGTGTGTGTTTGTGCGCGCATGTATTTAAGACAGCAAAATTTCAGCAATGTGCTGAATGTCACATTTGCCTTTGCAGAGGCACCAGGAGACTACAGAAAAGGATGTATCTGCCAGGGCCCGGCGCCGTGGCGCAAGTGGTTAAGTCCTCGCCTTGCAACCCCGGGATCCCATATGGGCGCCGGTTCTAATCCCGGCAGCCCCGCTTCCCTTCCAGCTCCCTGCTTGTGGCCTGGGAAAGCAGTGGAGGACGGCCCAAAGCTTTGGGAACCTGCACCCGTGCGGGAGACCCGGAAGAGGCTCCTGGCTTCGGATCGGCATAGTATCGGCCCGTTGCGCTCACTTGGGGAGTGAATCATCGGACGGAAGATCTTCCTCTCTCTCTCTCCTCTCTCTGTATATCCGCCTTTCCAATGAAAAAATAATTAAAAAAAAAAAAAAAAAAAAAAGGATGTATCTGCCAAAGAAGGCATGGTATTTCTAGGAGGAATGTTCCAGGTAGGCTTTGAAAGATAAGAAGGAGATAATCCCTAACCTAGGTGTGGTAAGGACAAAAGGGAGTAAAAGGGAGGGGCAGCATTTAGGACTGAGGCCTGAAGAGCCATGCTCTTCACAGCCAAGGCCTCGAATGCCGGAAGTACCAGTGAAGTCTGCACTCAGAAACTCCACGGGTCAGAGACACACCAACACGCTCAACACATTATTGCAAGGAGCAAAAAGGCATGGAAGGCCTGAGACTAAAAGAGGGCTACAAATTCCAATAGTTTAAAGGCAAAACGAAAGTAGAATATTTAGATACTTATTCAAGTACCATAACTATTTTTAAAATACTAAAATAAAAGTCTGTACACTTTGTTTGTGGAAGGGAGGCTATCATAGGTCCGAGGCCTAGGGAAGCTTGTGGGGTGATCCGCAAGGCTGAACTTTGATACGAGAGCAGTTTCAACAATGCTCAGCTAACTCCATAAAGCACAAACTTGTTTTGTGTGATTTTTCTGCATCTACATTCTATTTCACATTGTTAAAGGATTTTTCAGTTATTTAAAAAAAGATATT